TTGCGACTACAACAGTCAGAAGTTAAAATAAACTTCCAAGGATAGTTAACAATTACATAATTATATATAATTGATTAAATGCAAAAACATGAAATCAATAAATTTAAAGAGATTCTCCCATAGTTGGAAGAAGTGACTTTAAAGAAAGTCAAATCAAAAGCTAGCAAGACACGTGTTTCGACTACCGCTAAAGTAGTCTAGTTATCAATTGCTTATGATATGATGTAAAGTAGTCTCCGACTAGGAATAACTAATGTCGAAAGTCAAATAGACTTCCAAGCTATTAGCAAACCTAGATAAACTGTTAGAGGAAAGTATCGAAAGACACCTCCAAAAACTTAAAAAGAGACATTCCAACAAGGAATTATTTAATTAAGAACTCAAAGACTTGAAATTCAAAGCATCACACGACGCGTTTCGACTGTTGCTTAGGCAGTCCTCATCAGGCATGTTTAGAATTTCATAATTACATATAAGTGTTAACTCACACAAATTTTTGGAGAAGTTAAGGCTGAGACGTAATTACATAAAAGACTATCATAATTTAATTAAGAACTCAAAGACTTGAAATTCAAAGCATCACACGACGCGTTTCGACCTTGGTCAAGAGACTCATCACGTATGTTTAGATTATTAAAGAAGATAATATTTTGAAAGCATCACACGACGCTCTTCATCCTTGCTTAAGAGACTCATCACGGATGTTTAGATTATTGAAGAAGATAATATTTTGAAAGCATCACACGACGCGCTTCGTCCTTGCTTAAGAGACTCATCACGTATGTTTAGATTAATAAAGAAGATAATATTTTGAAAGTATCACACGACACATTTCAACTGCTGCTTACACAGCCCTCATCAGGTATGTTTACCACCTATTATTACATATATATCAAAACTTTTCAAATGAATGAAGCAGTTATGAAATATAAACGTAATAAAATTAATTTTCAAAGTAATCATAAATATAGAGTTGAAAGTCAACGCATGATACGATGTTTCGTCCTTGCTTAAAACACTCACTAAGTATGTTTAGAATTGCATAATTACATACAAGTCATAATCCCCTCAATTACATGAGAATGTTAAGACTCAAACGTAAATAAATAACAACTTTATATTTGTGGTGTCAATGTAGGTGAGCATACCACCACTGATTTCGTGCTTGCTCAAGGAACTTCTCAAGTGGCTCAAGATATTTTAATCGATTACAAGAATCGATTAAAATAGCTTTTGCAGTGTCTTATGAAAGCAGAATTTTTTGAGAGAGGAAGTGTAGAAAAACGAAGAAATTATGGTATCAATTTTGTTGAGCATCCCACGATTTGTTTCGACTTTTCTCAAGGGTTTTCTCAGGTGGCTTAAAACAGAAGAGTATACCAGCACGGGTTTCCACCTTGCTAAAGGATCTCCTCTGGTGGCATAAGGCACTTTAATTCGATTAGAATTAGGAATCAAATTAAAATATCTTTTACACTCGTATGAAAGCAATTTTTTCACGAAATATAGAAAGGGATGTGACTATCGGTGTGAGTGTGAGGGTGTGGGCATCAGAAAAAAAACCTCCACCCACTTACCCACACTTATACTCACACCCTTACAGATGACGCATCAGCCTAACAAGATTGAGAGGTATACGTAAATTCCACATTTCAGCTTCAAATGAATTGCGCTTACAAGCTTTTTCTCTTAATTTTATATATTTTTTCATTATATGTTTTGACTTGCATAGCAAATGAAACTATTATGTATATATTTACTTGTTTATTTATCCATTACTTAATTCTGGTTGCTAAGACTTGTAATGAGCGGGAGGGGGGGTGGGGGTAGGAAGCAAGAGAGAAGGAAGTCACGAAACTCGAAGTTAAAACTTACACTCACTATTTTCGGCGAAAATATGTGAGAATACCACAGAATACATGATAATTAAAGATAACGAGAGAAGGAATGTAAACATACTAAGGGTACGCTATTATCGCCAATATAATAGTGATCAATTCAAGGATGACTTCGCTGGTTTTTCGAGGACGCTACAGTGATGTTTTTCAAAACAAAATAACACATACATACATTAGACTATATCTTAATCAAAACTTCATCAATTTTGATTTTACGCACAAATAATCAGAGAAAAAGTAGAAAAGAGAGAGAGAGAGAGACTCTCTCCGTTGACTGTTTCGAAATAAAATAACCACTATATAAAGTGGTGTATATATCAACGATTTTCACATCATTCAGCATTTTCTCATTAAAAAAAAATCATGGTCTACACTATGGATAGCGACTACACTATTGATCCTGACAAGCTTCGATCGATGTGTGACGACGTGACATATGGAACTATGTCCACAGGTGATAGAGTTTATGGACCTGGTCAAAAATTTATTCTTCCTCATGGGGGTGTACCTGAATGCACAGAACAGCAGTTGCATGAAGTCGGTTACATACGGCCAGACCCTGTCTATCCATCCCATCCGATAAATCCTAATCTAGGACAGAGAACATATCAAGGACCAGCACCAGTTTATACATCAAATATCACCATTCGTTGTCTTGAACCACCACCTCTTCCACCAGGTGTAAGTTTCATTCAAACACACATTCTTCTTCTATTCTTATTCTATCTAATATCGTCAATATTGTTAATTATAGAAACTGACTATCATTGAAAAACGTCCACGTGCACCTTCCCCTCCATCTCCAAAACACGTACATGGCCCGCTACCTGAACGTTCTCGTACACCGCCTCCACTTATTCTACGTCAACGGCCTCCATCACCACCTCATTCTACTGATGCTATATGTAGAGAAACAGAGAAATTTATTGTTTGCACTGATTGACTTTTCTTTGTAGGTTGTGTTCGCTTGCCTCCTCCACCTCCTCCACCTCGACAGCGCATCAATCATATTTATGGACCTTGTCCTCCTAAGCCTCCTAATATCATCGTTGAGCGATGGCTTCCTTATAAACGTTCGCCTCCACGAGACTATGTTGTAATACGAGCTCCTCCTTATAACCCCATACCGGTACAGAATCTGATCATCAAGCATACTTATCCAGCAGCTCGCATTGAACACGAAATTCGAAAATATCCTCAACCTATACGGACCAACCCAGAGTACTATATACAACAGCATGGTCATACATTACTTGGAGAGCAAGCACTACAAGAAACACTATTCAGCGTGCTATCTCAACAACGTGCTGGTCAACACATTGTAAGTCATTCAATGATATAGTAAAGTCACAAATAATTAATCGTTCGTTTCATTTCTATAGTTACAACGTCTTCAAGCTATTTTTCGGGTACCATGCGACCAAAATCATGAACGGATTGACTCATACAAATTTATCGGAAGCTGGGGTACAGAAAACATTCCAACAACGACTGAAATACACTCCATAGGCATCGGCTCCATGACAAGTCATCCTGATAATTTCTCACCAACAGCTGCTTTGTGTTATTAGTACAAAAAAAAAACAAGACTTTCAACTAACACCACCAAATCGATCCTCGCTACCCAGCATGTGACTGATCCTCTTTTTCCTCCTATCCTCCTTCTTTTCAAAACCGTCGTCTACCTATCTATATGGCTGATATATTTCCTGTTTCATTCCTTTCGATAGAAGTACAATAGGAGCAGCGAATAGGACTCAAAGAATTAGATTACATTACATTTAATTTTTAGAGAGGAAGATGAATTAGAAAAAAAGGAGGATCATTCATATGCCAGCGCTACACTAACACCCAATATCTGCCTTATATCACATACTAACACTCGATTCATCCTCATTAATATTCACAAACGTTCATGATCTATCTTTTGACCCGAATATGTACCATCTTCGAATCATTTTTCTTAATAAACTTTCTTCTCAAATAAAATTCAATATAAGAATGTTGAAGTTCAAAGCATCACATGAGGCGTTTTTCAACTGCTGCTTACACAGTCTTCGTCAGGCATGTTTAGAGCTTATAGTTACATAACAAGTCAGAAACTCACTCAATAAATGAGGTAATCAAGACTCGAGAACATAACAACAACATCTTGATATTTAATGTAATAGTAAATATCAAGTAATTATTTTTTTTAAAGTTAAGAATATCATATGGTGCAGGTTCCGTTGTTCATAAGGAGTGTTAGGTATTCGGAAAGAGTTGCTTAAAAGTAAATGAATGTCTTGTGCATTTGAGAATAGACTTTTTCGATTTTGACTTGACATTCTGAATAGGAGTTAGGTGTCAGAGTTCACTTTATTTGAAATTCTATTATTCCATAGCCCTAATGTGATGGCTGATATTTTATGGTACAGTCTTGTTTACTCTGTTTTTAGTTTTCGAAAAGATTTTGTGAATGTTCCCGGTAGTTCTCCTGAAAGGTATATCAAAAGCGGCGCTTCTCAATACTAAGGAAACTCCCTTTGCCGCACCGACACCTAGTGCGATTGTGTGAGACCGTATGACTCTATGATTCATGGTCCTTTCAGATTTTTACGATATGGAATGTTGAAGTGACAAGCTGCCATGACACGTGTTTCGATCTTGCTCAAAGATCTCATTCAGATGGCAATAATTGTAAATGATTTATAGGAAAATCACTAGAATCAGATTTTTTCTGTTATTTAAAAGTTAAGAAGAAAGTGTATAGGTAATGATAAATTCAAGCCACCATAAAAAGTGTCAAGGTACCATGACACCTGTTTTGATCTTACTTAAGGGACTCGTCGGATAGCTTGTCTATTCTGAATTTTCAAAAAGGAAATCCAAAACAAGATATGTATGTACAGTGTTGCAAATAATAATAATTATTTACAATTGAAGACTAATTTTTTAGGTAATAATATTTGAGTAGTGGCAAACTTGAAACTTGAATTCAATTGACTTGTTAAGTTTCAAGGAAGTTTTGAATTGTGACGTTTGATATTTCAAGTTTCAGGTTTCAAGTAAATTTTCAACTTTCACGTTATAAGTTTCAGGTAACTTTTGAATTTTCCACCTTCAATTTTTGAAGTTTGTATGTGAGTCCTTCCTGTCTGAACTCCCTTCGCGACACTCACAGCAGCTGTACTGATGTCTACGTGAATTTGTACGTGACTCGTTCCTCTCGGAACATCGAGGAACTTGGAAGTTGAGGCTTGAAAAATGAACATTGAAGACTCACTTGAAACTGGAAAGTTGAAAAGTCAGTTGAATTTGAGTTGCAAGTTTTACATAGATGAATAATTCTTAGTTCTATTATAAGTAAAAAGGAATAGATAAAAAGAGATTGAAAAAAGCACGATACGATCGGAATTTCATCCTTACTTATGGGTCGCAACAGACGGTTTGGTGGTATTCACTATTAGAATTGATCTTATACGGGATCGAAAACAAAAGTGTAAATATTGTTCACCGACAGTGGTGATACAGAGTACCAGAACGAATTTTGACTTGACTTCAAGTCTCATCGTTTGATACATGCTGCAAACAATTGCATTAGAATTCTATGTGATACGAATATCACACTGGAATAAGTCGGTTGAGGGTATATATATTGAAAATGATTTCTGAGAAATAAATCGGTGAATGGGTAGTGGTCACTCGCAACAACCAATCAGATTAAAGATATAGAAAGGTTATACTCAGAATAACTACCATAATCTAGATTTCATCTCAATAATTAGACTTCTGTGGGAATAAATTGAAAAAATTCATATTATTCAATGCATATAGCAATATAAATTTTAGAATGCATAGATCGAGAGTGTAGGTGTGTCATTAAAAGAAAAATACAACTAGTTTCAACCTTTCTCAAGCGCCTGATCAGGCGGCTTTAATTCTGCATAGCCTAAGAATATTAAATTATTATTAAGAAGTTTTAGATTGAAAGCATCGACACGACGCGTTTCGACCTTGCTTAAGGGTCATCGTCAGGTATCTTTACAATCTATAGTACATATATCTAGAACCCTCCAAATACTGAAGAAGTAATAGATAATACCGTACTACAAAAGTTAATTTAGAACTCAAAGACTTGAAATTCAAAGCATCACACGACGCGTTTCTTCCTTGCTTAATGGACTCATTAGTGTTGTTAGAAAGGAAATGTCTGATGATGAGAAAGTCCTTTCGCCTTCACCCACAATATTGCGATATGCTGTATGGGTATGAAGTGAGCGGGCAACAGGTAGAATATGAAGTGGAGTAATTCTACAAAGATGAGAGAGAAACAATTACATATCAAACAATGTTACAGATGAATATTGTTTGATACTGAAATATGATCTTATGATCAGTCAAATGTCTGTAAAAGTCTGTTATAGTGTATATTCACATCTCCTGTGTCCTATGTCCCACCTCCGATCTGTCTGGCGAGTAACATTGCTATCTTAGTCAATCGAACTGTTATATTCAATAGTTTTTTGTCTATGACCATTTCAGAAACCTATACTAATATAAAACACCACAAGATGGCGATTTGACTCTTGCTTAAGGGTCTCCTCTTCAGACTGTTTAGTGGTATGTGCACAGTTAGAATTGTTCTTAGATGAAATGAAAAACAAAAGTGTGAAAATTATTCACTGACAATGGTGATAGTGGAGAGGATACCAGAGCGAGTTTTGACTTGGCTTTTAGTCTCCTCGTTTGGTACATGCTGCAAACCATTGCAGTTGAGAATTCCATGTGATACGAGTATCACATTGAAATATGTCGTTTGGAGGTATATATATTGAAATCAGTTTCTGAGAAATAAATCGGTGAATGAGTAGTGATCACTCCGAACAACCAATCAGATTATAGGTACGAAGTGTTTGGTGGTGTCAACTATCATAACATAGTTTCCAAAATTTATAATATGAAAGATTTTCGACATTGAGATGGTCATCAGTCATCGATAGAACTTTTGTCACTGACCTCATCGAGCATCTACTTTGATGTCATTGTAGATATGTTGGAACTCTCTCTCTCTCTGAATTATTAATGTAGTGAAAATATTAGAGTCACTTCTAAAAATGTTAGAGAATTCTCGTACACGAAAGCGACTTGAAGTGACATTTCAAATTTCAAAGTTTTAATTTATACTTGCAATATTCAATGGTTGATTGTTTCAGTTTCTATCTGTATTACTCTTATTGCTTCAGTTCTGATAAAGTAGTTTTGAGATTCAGTATGCGTCGCCTCGTATGGAACACATTTCGTCGCATTCACAGCAGCTGTGATGATGTTTTATATGTGAGATTGTATGATTTACTGTTTTTTTTGCGAAGATGCTTTGCATATGAAAGTTTTAAGTTTATACTGGAATTCTAGTTTGAAACATAACACTTACACTATGATATTCGATATGTTTTTTTTTGGAGAGATTAAGTACAAATATAATCTGAAGATTTGAATACATGCTGGTTATACATGTCTCAATTACAATATCTATATAATATCTACCTGTGTATGCATCAATATCAAAGCATGTACATTCCAATATGCTGCTGTTTTCTTTTGAAGATCAGTAATTGATTCTTCTAATAATGAGCCTGCATCTTCAGGATTCAATAATACTATTGCAGGTTGTCGAACATTAATTTCTTTTGTTCCTCGATATTTGTCAGAAGCCTATTCATAAAAGAACATATTCATAATAATCGGTATAAATGAAGAATAGATAAGAAAAGAGAAAAAAAGTTTCGTTTTCTTTTGTTTTGTGTGTTTTACTTACACTTATTTTATATTTTTTTTGTGTTAGTAAATTTTTTTTATTAGGAAAATTAAGTTTATTAAAATCGTCCCATGGAATATCATCATAAACTGAATATCGAGCATAATTATTCCATGCATCTAAATTCCATCGTTCTTGAAAATAATTAACACGACCAGGTAATGACATTGCAAATGATGTTTTTCCTGTACTAGTTGGTCCAATTATAATAAGACATTTTGCACGTGATGAACGATTAAATTCTTCTTTGATCCAACAATTCATAGCTTCACCTATAACATTAACATATATATGTTTGTAAGAAAAAAAAAAAAAAGAAGAGATTCATTTGGTAATAGTTATAGACTTACGTAATTGTGGTGTACAATGTGGAAATGAATGAGGCCAAATATAATCTTTATCAATTTCACCTCTTTGATCACCTTCACGTTGTGCTCGTAAATGAACATAATTGAATATTGCTAAATACCTAAAACAAGAATAACAGATAGAGAGTTACTAATAAAAGTTTTTGTTTTTGTTTAACTATACCAGCTACCACGTTCAACAAATTTGCCAATCATTTCTTGTTTAATGAGATCCATAGCATGATCAACATTGTTTTCAGCTAATTTAATTGCTTGTTTATATATTTCAAGTTGATGTTGACGTTTTTCTTCTGCTTGAGCTTTTGCAGTTGTTGCCTTTGGTACTACAGATGGATGAGGAGCATGAGGAAGATTCATTGTCGTTGTCGTAACAGGTGATGTTGTTCTTGTACTAGATGTAGATGGT